ACTATTATCCTAACTATCTATACTGATATTATATAGAGGCAAGAGTTGTATGTTTGTTACAAATAATCTGTCATACTACTGAACCGATTTCGAATATTCGTTCATCATAAGGTAGCTAAATTATTTCTTATTACATTTTCTATATAACTACATTTTATTACACCCTATCTAAATAGAAGTGATATGCTAAATATGGAAAACCGTCGCAAAATGAATTTTGCGAGTTTGTTGTTGGGAGTTATACAATGTAAGCGCCCCATATACTTGTATTAGAAGCTGACTTTCTCTGAGCGTCCTTTGCGGATAACGTCTCGTATGAGGTGTCCCGCACATAAAACTAGTGCGTTTCGAGGTAGTTTTCGTTACGCAGCGACCAAATGTTGGAATAATATTCCTCCTCCAATAAGGAACTCCTTAACGGTTTGCACTTTTAAAGTTAAATACAGGAAATATTTATTGGATGTGCAAAAGTTGTAATGAGGGTCGCTAGAACGCCATGGTTGATTTTGAGTACCATTTCATACGCTGTAAATTTTTATTTAATTTTTTTGGCTTTCATTTTGTTTCACAATATTTATCCAATTGATTTCAGTAATTTCACATTGTATTTAAATCTTTTATTCTTATATGCATTTAAATGATATTTAAGACCTTAAATATCATTTAATTTAAATTATTGTCGATGACCTTAAATGTCATTTAATTTAAGTAGGCTGCTGCTGAAAATCAGTGTCGTGGCACATGTTGCCTCGACATATACTGAGCAGTGGCCTGTTTGGTACACAATCACCTATATGTAACACAATAAGTTATTTTTGTAATTTGTGTCAAATAAACGTTTTTATTATTATATTTGGCAATCAAACCCAGCAATCTGTAAAACGTCAAAGTTTTGTATTGATACGGATTTGTTTGCTGTTGTGATTTCTTGCGGTTTTTTGTATTTAATCATGTCTAAAAGGGGTAAAACCTTACAAATAATTCTATAAATAAATAATAATAAATAAATATTTCCAACACTCACACCAATTAGCCTAGCCCCAAAGTAAGCAAGGTAAAAGCTTTAGCTTTGCTTTGTAAGGCTTGTGTTATGGGATGCTAGGGTAACGGATAGTATACATATACTGTACATATATAAGTATATTTATATAGAAATACATATTAAACATCCATGACTGGAGTACAAATGCTCGTATTCATCACACAAACATCTGCCCCCACCGGGATTCAAACCCGGGACTTCTCGAGTCGGCGACACCATGGAACCCGGCGTACAAACCACTCGGCCACGGAGGTCGTCTGAATAAATAATAAATAAATTGAATTGAATACGGTAGAAAAGCACTACAGCGCCCTCCAATCTAAATCCCATTCTCTTTCCGCACAGACCCCAACCCCTTTTTTTTCATTTTCGCCTAGGTTTTATTTACGTTTATGAGCACAAAAATTAAATTTCATATCCCACTATTACCGCAGTCTGCTCCTGCATAGTACACGCGCTATCACTTTTTCATCGTTGTAACTTTTTAAATATTTGTCGAAATGATATAATGTAAAAGGCAAACTTTATCTTCTTTAAATATCAAAGGCGATAAAAGTATTTGTTTTGCTAAAAAATAATTTGTGAATACAAAATGTGCATTTTGGAAATGGTCATCAAATAATAGTTTATTTTAGATACACAATTTTAGCGATAATTGCTTGCACATCAAAAATAGATATAAGGTGTCGAGGACTTTTTTGTAGAACTTTATGAGATACATGTTCACTTTACATTATATTCATGTAACTTTTATAGTTTATCGTGACAACGTTTTTTTACAATGGACATAGTTCTATTCAATATTAATTAAATGTCACGAAATAGTTCTGTTTACTTATTGTTGTAGTTTTGTCAATTATAGCATAACCTACAATCGGTACACTAGCGGACCGATGCTATTTATTTTAATGATGAAAGCACCAATATTCGACAATATAAGCTGTCCACGCGGACGCATCGCTCACTCAAGAGAGACCGATGTCGTACGCTGCCGAACGCAGAGGCCGATTGTGCCTCTTTATCGCTCGTTGCGCGCTCTCGCTTGCACTTCAAGTCTTAAATAGAACGCCTCAGAGCGAGGTAACGCCGCATGAGTCATGTATATTCTTGCATGCAGCCGGCTCCATCGAATTATAAGACATCGTCACATCAAAAACGAGATGTTTCAACGCACGCACACCAAGGGCGGATCCAGCTTTGGCGCCAGGGGGCCGTCATATAGTCATCAAGTCCCAGTGGGTACAGATTGGAAGTACAGATTGTGAAGTGGGCACAGATGGACCCAGCCCAGAGGGGGGGGGGGGGTAATGACCCCATGACCCCCCCCCCCCCCTGGATCCGCCCTTGACGCACACACGCACGCACACACGGGTTTTTATCTGGAAAAACAAAATATTTACAGGTTGCCGCAAGGTGTAGCCCCGGCGAGAGCGTGAAGCGTGCCCGACTGTATACCTGTACATGGTAATATGATATGTATTTGTATATGGTATTATATAACCTGTATTTATGGTAAAGAAATAAAACAATTTATTTATTATTATTAGATCTCTGAAATGGAAGATTCCTTATACTTTGTTTTGTGTGTACCTATATATTACAATATATAAAATCAGGACACTAAATCATTCACTATTTACTATAATTATTATTCTTACATCTTACCTTTTCATCTACGCTATTATTCAATACGGTAACGAATTCGACCAACTCGAGAAAATTTCAACTGTCACTGCGTCGTTGAAAGAACGACGAATAATAAAAAGTTATAATTAATGAGGTTCCGTGACTTTCAAGCAATATTGAACTAGATCTCTAAAATAGAAGATATTCTTATACATAAGTACTTTGTTTTGTGTTTACCTACGATATAAAAAATCAGGATAATAAATCATTTACTATTTACAATATAATTATTCCTTTATCTATCCTTTTCATCTACGCTTTCGACTGAATTAATAGGAGAACATATATGAATGATCGCTTAGAGAAGCGAGACCAATCATTCATCTTATGTAGGAGAATAACGAATTCGAACAACTCGTACGTTATTAGCTAGGTATATTAATAAGTTAAAGAAAAGCCAAAACCCTTTGAAAGAAGCCTTGGTGGAGAAAATAAACAATTCCACACAATTATCGTTTGTTCTTAAACACATTGGCCAACCAACCGAACATACCAGCCTTGCTTCTTCAGCCTATTCAAAAACACATCACATAATAAAACCTATTTTATGAGATTAACGTTATTGCCTATTCGCCAGTAACTAAGGTATACACGTCGTCAGGAACTAAGGTATACAGACTAGACGTTATAAGTTTTTTAGATAATTCGACAAAATTTAACTATCTGTAGAGCAGCTATGAATAGATAATAGCACCGTTAGCACAGCACAATAATTAATAAGTAGTTAAGTATCTATCTTATTTGATATCAAGTTCGGATATGAACTTGTCGCGATTGTATGAATAATAAATCAAAGTGTTGATGTTTAATCGATTTCCATTCGTGTGTAGCTTAATCATTAGGTTTAAAAGTATCCAATGCCTACCTATTCCCAAAAAATATTAGAATTTAAATATTGATATTCTGAACGTAGGAACTATTTTTACCCCGAGTAGAAAACCCATGAAAATTATGATAAAAATATTTTAGTGGCTGCACATAAGTTATAGGAAGTCAGAAGATTTATAGTCATCTTTCTCATCCTGGCACTTTCCAGTCTTGTGACTGGTAATGTTATTACGGGCGAATGGTAATTCGAACCATTCCAAAAGGTGCTTTATCATCATCTGCCACTTATTTTTTGCGATCCATCCATGAATAGGTACGTACCTAGAGCATAATTGGTTATGTTGGCAAGATAAAAAAATATTTTAAAGAGAACTTTCTAACTTTATTAGACTATGCCAATGCCATAAAAGGTATAAAAACCGAATTGTTAGGTCATTAAATATTTGAATAATTTAGTATGAGTTGGCGCGTATCGGAAAAAAGTAAAACCTACTTACCTGGCATTAATTTCTCGTTACGATCAAGATCAAGTTCCATGAAAATCTGTTTATTTATCGACAATTCCTACCTACCTACCTACAGCAAAGTCCTGTTAGTCAGTTCAAGTCTTTTCATTTTCCTTCCACGATGGCAGCCCTTTAAGCTGGACCCTGCAGCCCGGTTTCAGATTTCTTTTTAATATCTTTGGGCAGACAGGACCAGGGCAATCTCTCGGGTCAGATAGTCAATGCCAATTATAATTCCTCTGAGGAGGATACATTGCTATGCATTTGACATTACAGTGCAAGCGGGATATTTTAAACATGCGAGAGTTGATGGAGTAGAAACCAAGGAGAAACGTGAGTCCTGTCATTGAGCTCAACTGTGTTTTGCTCAAAGTCAAAGCTTTGAAAACACAGGTCTGGATTTTGACGGCAAAAACATCGCCTATCTTTTCGCTTCGCTGTCTTCAACAACCTGATATTTGGCGACTCATTTCTTTGACGTAGTTCTTTGCCCGCGCCCGTGGTTTTCTCCTTCCGACGCAGTCCTTGAAGAGAAATGAAGAAGCATTTGTGCAGGGCGCCAAGCCGATTGATGGTTGGTGTTATAGTTCATAACTGCTGCAACAGCTATCTTCGCGTTTGGACTCAAACACCTAACATCAGATGGGACGGAGACATTTGCCTACCTCAATATAAAGAAACTGCACCTAAAATATTATTGACTAGCTATAACTATAAGCAAGTGACATCAGGTCTACATTAATAAAAGTTGCACAACATTGAATCTAGCATCACGTCTTTCAAATCTAAATTCAATATTGTTCAATCAGTTTTTGGCTGTTACAAGCACTTATCTATTTCATCTGTTGTTATGAACCAATAGGAAACATGTTAATGAGTACAAAAAAACTATAGACAATTTTAAACTAGAGAGAATCCATTTATTCATAAAATTACATCCACAGAGCTGATGATACTCTCGTACAATAGTGTTTCTGTCAACAACATTTCATACCATATACGGTTATCACTCACGATGAACTAACACGTAAATTGCTAAACACGCCAACACAGCAAACTGAAAAATAAAAATAAACAGAATAAATTACTGTCATGTTAATATTACTTTCATATTCAATGTAATGGGCTTATGAGCAGTATTACCATTAGCAAGAACCAATATCAAATTCGAATATTTGAATTAGATCTCGATACTAATTACAACATTTCCCATGAGGTGGAGGTGAACCCACGGGATGTAAAAACGGCCATCCCTTACATATTTGCAACACCAGACATATTTAACTCCCAAGATGCAACGAGGTCGGTAATCTTCTAAATTCATAATTGTGTTTCGGCCCCCATATTAAAGGTAACATTTTCACTTACATCTTAGTCTTAGTTTCAAAATTTAGCAGTAACCCTTTTGGACCAGTAATTCTGTAGCAAATTTAAATAAATTGACAACCCAAAATGAATATGGATTCGCATTAAGCTCCCCTTGCGATTAATTGTTCATTGCTCTCCCGGCTAATAAATATGGTACAGTCCAGGCGCCCGAATATTCTTTTTTAATTGATATCGGCCTGTCCATTTCAAAAATTTATTATTTTTTAATATTACAATTTGTCACCATTGCTTTTATTTTTTATTATTACAATTGACGCCAGCGCACAGGGACGTGTTTATGCAATCCATTTCATTTTGTACCTATAATAGTAGTCTTGTCTGGTTGTTAGTCATCTTTATTATTACATTTGTGATATAATATAACTTTTGTACTTGAATTTTAATACATAAACATAGATTTTGTTTGTAATATAATTACAATTTAACTTCATGTTTTGGATGGTTCCTGTTAATATTAACTTTTCATTTAACTACTTGTTTTGAACTTTATTTCATATTTGAAATGTTCTATATACGTCTGTAGTGATGCATCACATAATATTAACTACTTTTGTATGTTAATTTAGTATTTTGCACATGCAAATTTCTTAGAATTTACTTAACTCGTTGACAATTATTTGGTTTATACCAATTTATGCATATTGCATATAATTTAAACTTTCATTACCTTGTAAACTATGATCTTTGTGTTATTGTTTTGTTATTTACATTTGAATATGCAAATTTGCAAAGCTTTTTGCTATATATAAAAAAAAATTTAGGACTTTGTGTTCGAACGTTTTGATAATTTTTAAAATGTTTTGTGAACTTTATTTGAAATTCATACAAGTTTCTTAATGATAAATATAACTGTTCCACAACTTGTTTTGAGCTAGTATATACATTGTTTAAATAAAACATAAACAATAAAATTTAACTTTTATAAATAATAACATAAACTTAAAATAATTTAACATTCTTTGAAAAAAATTAAACTAAATATTTTGAAATACTTTCATAACTTAATGAAGCATTGTTTATATAATAATAATAACTAACTTAGTCATAATAATATTATGAAATAATTTTTGATGTTGTTGTAACTTAGATATTTTGACATTTTGTCACAAACTTAGTTCAGTTAAAGTTAATATAAGTTTTTATATTAATAATTTTTTAATTAATTTAATTTAGTTATATAACTTAAGATTTAAATATCTTTCACCAATTGTAAACTTGCTGCATCTTGCTTTATCTTTTAAAAGATTTAACTTTACATTTACTTTGCGTTAACTGCGTTTATAATTTCACTGCTATTTTGGCATTTTGCGAGGATGGAATGTGACAAACTTGCATTATCTGCTGCCTTGCCGCCTAAGGAGCAACTTGTTTCTTTTTACATTGTGATGCTAGTTCTGTTAGTATTGGTAGTGTTCTGAGTCAAGAAGTTGATAACGGTGATCAACATCCTATTGCTTTTTATTCTAGATCTCTTAATAAATGTGAACGTAATTATAGTGTGACTGAGAGAGAACTTTTGGCAATTTTAGATTCTATTGAACATTTTAGGCCGTATATTGAAGGAATGAAGTTTACCGTAGTAACGGATCATGCTAGTTTAAAATGGCTTTTAAATTTAAATAATCCTTCTGGTCGCTTGGCTAGATGGGCTGCTAGAATTTCACAATTTACATTTGATATAATTCATAAAAAAGGTTCTTTGCATGTAGTTCCTGATACTCTTTCTCGTTATGATATAGCTGCGTTGACAGTAAATTCGAATCAAATTGTTTCGCCTAACGATGACATCGTAGATCCTTGGTATAGAAAGATTTTTGTCAATTGTCAAAAATTCCCTTCTAGATATAAAAATTTTAGAGTAGAAAATGATACTTTGTATAGATTTTGTAAATCAAAATATAGCGTTAATAATAATTTAGATTGGAAACTTGTTGTTCCAAAAGAACATATTTTAGATACTATTAGAAATAATCATGATGATTTAAATTCGAGTCATTTAGGAATTCATAAAACTTTGCATAAAATAAAACTACATTACTTTTGGAAAGGTATGTTTAATGATGTTCATAAATATATTAATAATTGCGATATTTGTAAAGCTTATAAGCATTCGACTTCTAAACCACTTGGAACTATGATTAATCCCAAAAAAGTAGATAGACCTATGGTAATGTTAAGTATGGATTTAATTGGAATCTTACCCAAAACTTATTCTGGTCATAAATTTATATTATCTGTAGTAGATGTTTTTACAAAATATTGTTGGTTATTTCCTTTGGCTAATGCAACGACTAGATCAATGTGTAAGTTCTTAGAAAAAGATATCTTCCTTAAGTTCGGATGTCCAAATATATATAAATAGTTGTATGTGATAACGGTACTCAGTTCACTTCTAGAAATTTTGTAGATTTTCTTAAAGGTTTTAATATTGATAGAATATTTTATAATACTTTATATACGCCTCAGAATAATCCAGTGGAGCGTTATAATAAAACGGTTGAAACTTGCATTTCTTGCTTCGTTCGTGATGATCATAGAACTTGGTCGAAATTTCTTCCACATGTTCAGTTAGCTTTGAATAGTAGTGTTAATTTAGCTACGGAGTTCACTCCGAATTTCCTAATGTATGGTAGGGAGTTAATTATTGATGCGTCATTGCACCGTTTTAGTAATTCTTTTGATAATTTATCACAGATCGATCTTGTTGACCGTTCTGCTTTTGCTCATTCACTTTCTTCACTTGAAAGTATTTTTGTTAAAGTTACTGGAACTTTATTTAAAGCATATAAACGTAATGCTTCTTATTATAACAAGCGTCGTGAAGTCACTTCTTATGATGTAGGTGATATTGTTTGGAGGAGGAATTTTGTTCAATCTAGTGCTGCTCATTATTTTTCGGAAAAACTAGCTCCGAAGTTTATTAAATGTAAGATTATTGATAAAATTTCTAATAATGTTTATGTTTTAAAAGATTTGGTTAAAGGTACTTCTGGTCGCTACCATGTTAAAGACATTTTGAAAATTTAGATTGCTTAGCTATTGCTTGGTTAGTTTTGTTAAACATAAACAAACCTTTGGGTTTCAGGCTTTTGTGTTGAGTGATTAGGTAGCTCTGAAAGTTGAATTTTTGCGTGAAGTATGTCATGTTTGCTACTTGTGAGGTGATGAAAGAAAGTGATATTACTCAAATACATTTGACTTTACTCATTGACTTTTTGGTTTTTATTAAATTCAAGTTTTGCCTTTATATTATTTGACTTTGCAAATTTTTAGTAAAATTTAAATTTACGTAGTATGCCTACTTGTTTTCTGCATCATACGATTTTATAACCTTTTGTTTCGTGCAGATGTTTTATCTGTATGGACACATTTTTTATTAGGATTTTATATGTCCTCATTTGTTATTTTTGTACAAACTTATTTGTTAGTACTATAGTTGAGTGGTGTTTCTGCATGTTTGTTGTTTTATAACAATTTGTTTTGTGTAAAAGTTTGTGTGTGTGATAATTGTTACACCCGGATGTGACATTTTAGAGCTCCCATTTTTCCTTGGATTTGACATCCATGATTTTGACTTTTTTCGTTCAATATTTTTGACGATTTCTTTGGTTTTGCCATATTGTTTTGGTATTTTGTTTGCCCATATTTATGGACATCAATTGTTTGTTTTTGTGCTTCATGCTCGGGAGTTCGGTGGAGTTGTGCCGACCATGTCTGTGACTTAAATGAGTTAGTGTCAATTTTGCCACTAATCTCTAACTTTTTTGGGGATTTAACTAATAGTACTTGCGACTTTCTAGTATAGCAGTACTGGGGTGGGATTTTTCTAGAGTCTGCGACATAGTTGTCTAACAGATCTCCCAAGAGTTGGTAGTAGGAGTAGATTGTAGTTTTCTGTCTGTGACCTAGTTGTCCAACAGACCTTCAGAAATTAATGTTAAGAGTAGTAGAGTAATAGTTTAAGAAATTTTAGGAGTCTGCGATTTTAATATCCAACAGATCTCACAGGGGTTTAGGTTTTGAAGGAGTTTTAGTTTAGGAAATTTTAGAATCTGCGACTTAGATGTCCAACAGATCTCACCAAGGTTTAGATAGAGAGGTCTGAATTAGAGATTTTTTAGAGTCTGCGACTTTTATGTCTGACAGATCTCAATAATGATGATGATAGTGGTTGAATTTTTTGTAGTAAGCTTTGCATACTTTTATTTTGGAGCCTTTTTGCTTTAGGTTTTTAATAATTTTTGGTCTGTGACTAATTTAGTTTAACAGCTTTTGTTTTGAGACTTGTGACGTTTCGTCCAAGGACTCTATAGTTGGATGATGTTTTGGTATTTGGATAACTTTATTTGAAGTTATTTTCTTTTCACTTTGGGTTTTCGTTTTCATCCATAATTCAACGGATTTCGTTTTGGCTTTTAGTATTTGAACTTTAGCTGTAGATTCTTCAGCCTCGATTCTCGATGCTTTATTCGGGGAAGGGTGAAATGTAACGTGTTAAAAACGTTACATGGATCTCCTTCGCTCGAAGAGCGAGACAGAAGATTTTTTTTGGTTGTCTCTCTGGTCGTTTTTATCTCGCGTCCATTTTCCTTAATCTGTGCACTTTTCATTAATATGTTTCTGCCCCTAAACAAGCAGTAAGCTGTATGGACGTTGTTCTCTTTGCCTTCCCGGCAAAAGAAAACAAACTTAAGAAAAAACTAATGTCACTTTACTTCCCGACGTAATTTTTACGTAAAACATGTAAGGATCTTAATCGTAATTTATAAATTGATAATCTATTGGATTGTCGATTGTTTTTAATGGTAAGTGTTTTTCCAAATTCGAAAAGTGTTTTAATTCATATATTTCAATGATTTACATGAGGATTGATTTTGTTTTCAGATGAGAAATTTTGCGTCATTTGCACGAGAAGCGCTAATGAGCATAAGTTTGTTTTCTCTTGCCGGAGAGGCAAAGAGAACAACGTCCATACAGCTTACTGCTTGTTTAGGGGCAGAAACATATTAATGAAAAGTGCACAGATTAAGGAAAATGGACGCGAGATAAAAACGACCAGAGAGACAACCAAAAAAATCTTCTATCTCGCTCTTCGAGCGAAGGAGATCCATGTAACGTTTTAAACACGTTACAATACGCAACAAATGTCTAGATTTTGTATGGAAGATTTTTTATTTTCGTTAAGTTTGCTGTTCAAATTTCCAAACAAAGTTTCCTGATATGTGACACGTATCTAGATCAAATTCAATATTGGTTTGTAGCTAAGACTACAAGAAGGCAGAATTTCTACTGTTGCACTAACTGGTCATTTTAAGATTCACAATTATATCATAAAAGATAAATAGTATATTTTTATTTAAAAATTAGACTAGTACATAATTTTTATTTTTTTAAGCATGTAACTGCTTGAAGTTTAAATTAAAAGACAATATTACTAGAAAAAATTCCACGCGGTCCAGGCAGGACGCGGAGCAGACGGGACTCGCAAATACAATGCGAAAAGATGGCGCTGCCTTGCAGCTTAAGAAAGGCTAGAAAGAATTCGACACGCCGTCAGGGCCGCGGTAGCATAATTGGTCAGTGCAGTCGCCCAGATAGCGAAGGGTGCGGGTTCGAGTCCCGTCTGCTGCCTGGTCCTCATGGAATTTTTTCTAGTAGTATTTTCTTTAGACTGGTATAGTCTTGTTTCAAACAAATTTGACCAAAAATAAACAAACAGGTAGGTAAGTCTGACCATAGACAGTTTAGTGTTGGGGATTCATGGAGCCTTATCAAAATCAATTACACAATTGATTGATTATATTCTTAGAAATTGTTAAAAATATATAATAAACGTCACTACTCAAAAACAAGCTATGGCTGTTAACTGTATTTGGCAATATAGTTAACTATTTTTCGTTACTTAATAAAACTGTTTTTGGACAATTGGTTTGCATGATTTATTAAATATTTAGGTTTGTAGCTAGCAAGCCTGCAGCTATCCTGTTGAATGTCCTGCATTCACTTTAGTTACTTCATTCAACAGTAGTCAACTTTTACATTTATTATACAAATGTGAATAATTGTATTTATTATAATATAAAAAAAAATCTAAGTATATGAATCAAATAAATTTTTATATGTTGGATTACTGATAAAAATGAGATTATTTTTTACATTTATTTAATTGATTCACTATTTGATAAATAAAGTCAATAGTAATAATTTTGACTAGATTTTTCAGTGCAAAACTGTTCAACCATAGACAACAGACAATTCCCATCTGCCAAAATAACCTTACTTTTCGACTCGAGTAGGTATTTATTAACAATGTTTCATTAATTAATAAAGAAATTAGTGCTAAAAAAGATAGTGAATTAATATGTGAAATCCCTAGGAATGCAAATTAATGGGTTGAGAAATCCATTTAGTGATTCATTGCATGGGACTTGAGAGGTAAAGTGTTTATTTACCTTTGGTCTAAAATCATTTGGTACAGACTATAGATTCATACATGTATAGAAAATTTTCTTTAGGTATACACAAACATAATGTTGTTTAATAAACACACTCAGCTAACTTTTAGCATGATTGTCTAGGCTTAAAACTATATTTGAGAACAGTATCTCAACTGTTCATGCAATGGTTTCTTAGAATTTTACAGTGAATTAAGTTAAAGAATCATGCAAGAATTAGCCTCTATTAGCTATTAAATGTCTGTATTTTATATTATAAAAGCTTACTAAAAATAAATAGAAATCAAATGTACCTTAAATTTAGGGTATTCATTCATGTAAATTGTGACCATTCCAACATAAGGTAAAAATCCCCTAGCTCGTCCTACCACATCCTTTTTTGTGAGCCATAGCTGACCCTGTGCGTATAAGCCTCGATCATCAACACTGTTGTTGTCTCCTTTGGTCAAGAATTTCACTGTACCATTGTTCCTATAAAATATGTTTTACTTGATTACTGACTAATATGGTTATAAATTAAAATAATTATTAGTAAATATAATTAATAAAATTAAAGTAATTATTTGTAAATATAATGAAGAAACCACACTGGATAAATATCACATAATTTCAATAATCATTATTCTTACTCATAAAAAAAACTTAAAGAAGAATACAAAGATATAGCATTCTGAAACAGTTTAATAGAACAATAATTTAATGTAATGGTGAGGTACAATCAACAAAGTCATGGCTGTACCACAATTAAGACCATTTTCTTTTGTATGACTGATTCCTTGATCAAGGGTCAACAAATCCAATGAACAAAAATGTATAACAGAATTATCCCTTTGGATAATTACTTCTGTTTTTTATAACTTTTGCAAGAACTTAAAGAAGTACTTGCAAAAGTTATAAAATTGGGTACATAATAGCCAAGTACTTATAAAGAGATCCTATTGTATTTTTATTGGTCAAATAGACAAGAGGCGGGACAACCGACACTCTTCTTATATCAGCAAAGAAGGTTTTGAAACAAACCAAGCCATGACTTTGATGGTATATAAATGTAGCTATCTACTCACTTCTCATGAAGCTTCAACACTCGATGAACTATTGGAATATCTCTTCCCTCTACTTTAAACACAACAATTTCTCCAACACGCACAGGCTCTTCTGGATAATTTGTTAAAAATAAGAGATCACCTCTATGAAATGCTGGTTCCATGCTACCAGAAAGGACCACCACAATGGGACTTTCACTGCCAGTTACTACCATCAGACCTTTCCATATCATCAAAGCAGACGAAACTATCATACCAAAGCTTAAGACTTGGTAAATAAACTGAAAATTATAAGTAAATCTTCAAAATAACAACCGGTACATTCATTACAATAAAAAATAAGGTTACCAATAAAAATATACCTGTCGCTTATTCATGCGCTTGACATCATCAAATAAACTGTCCAACATTTTGTGTTTTGTGGTTTAATTGAGTATATACAAAAAATTAGCCTCAGCTTTTTAAATTTCCTATTTGAAAATCTGTTGTTTTGTCACTTCGATCTACACTTCACCACGTCAGATAGCGCTCATAGACAAAACATTGCGTTTTAATTTTCACAACCTAAGGTAAATGATATAGACAGCCAAGTTTTCGGTAATTTTTAAACTATTTATCTTTAACCTAAGCTTCAACCTAATCCTAACAATAAAACCTAACTATTCAATATTTAAACAAGTTGTTGTTGCACAAGTTTTAAATAGGATTTAATTTTCTTAACTATTACCTATTATATGTTTGACAGTATTTCATGCTTTTCATTATTTAAAGTGCAACTGGATGATATGTTCTTGTCAAATTCAGTTTTAAAATGGCATTAGTATCCAATTTTAAGGCCCTATCGAAAGGGTGGGTGTGCCCGCTAGCTAGGATAGCAATGATTACACCGCCCTATCAATCGCAATCTAGTTCAGTCTGAAAGTAAAAGTCGTCTCGGTTGAACATCGTCTTTATGGCACCCGATGCATTCTGATTTCTGATCAAATTTTTATACAATTCTCTATATCCTTCGGCACTTTCCTCTTTATTTAAAGGAAAATATATGTAAATGATCATAAAAAAAACTCACACAAATAAATAAAATTGATTACCTAAAGATTAGATTATAATTTCTAATTATTTGAGGATCAATTACTATTTTTTGCTGATTATTTAAATGTGTGCATTATTTAAATAGCTTTTGATTTCTTTTTGCCACAAAATTATAGATATTAATTAAAATGAAGTAACACTTCAATCTCTTCCTTAGTTGCATCGCGCCAATAAACTAATTCGACTACAAAAACGTCTGTACTATACGCTCTCAGAGCGTCGACTGAGCTCCCTTATAATGCAATTCAAATAAGAATAGGAAAATATAACTAGAAAAAAATTCCACGCGGACCAGGCAGCAGACGGGACTCGAACCCGCACCCTTCGCAATCCGGGCGAATGCACTGACCAATTATGCTACCGCGGCCCTCACGGACCGCGTCGAAATCCTTTCTAGCTATTCTTAAGCTGCAAGGCAGCGCCATCTCTTCGCATTATAGGTAAACCCACAATGTCAAATGAATACTTTTACAAGTATTAAACATTTGAAAGAAGAAATAGCAATTATAGTTATAATTTTTATTATTTTTAAAGCATGTAACTGCTTGATGTTTTAAATCTAAAGAAAATATAACTAGAAAAAAATTCCACGCGGACCAGGCAGCAGACGGGACTCGAACCCGCACCCTTCGCAATCCGGGCGAATGCACTGACCAATTATGCTACCGCGGCCCTCACGGACCGCGTCGAAATCCTTTCTAGCTATTCTTAAGCTGCAAGGCAGCGCCATCTCTTCGCATTATAGGTAAACCCACAATGTCAAATGAATACTTTTACAAGTATTAAACATTTGAAAGAAGAAATAGCAATTATAGTTATAATTTTTATTATTTTTAAAGCATGTAACTGCTTGATGTTTTAAATCTAAAGAAAATATAACTAGAAAAAAATTCCACGCGGACCAGGCAGCAGACGGGACTCGAACCCGCACCCTTCGCAATCCGGGCGAATGCACTGACCAATTATGCTACCGCGGCCCTCACGGACCGCGTCGAAATCCTTTCTAGCTATTCTTAAGCTGCAAGGCAGCGCCATCTCTTCGCATTATAGGTAAACCCACAATGTCAAATGAATACTTTTACAAGTATTAAACATTTGAAAGAAGAAATAGCAATTATAGTTATAATTTTTATTATTTTTAAAGCATGTAACTGCTTGATGTTTTAAATCTAAAGAAAATATAACTAGAAAAATATTCCACGCGGACCAGGCAGCAGACGGGACTCGAACCCGCACCCTTCGCAATCCGGGCGAATGCACTGACCAATTATGCTACCGCGGCCCTCACGGACCGCGTCGAAATCCTTTCTAGCTATTCTTAAGCTGCAAGGCAGCGCCATCTCTTCGCATTATAGGTAAACCCACAATGGTCAGTGCATTCGCCCGGATTGCGAAGGGTGCGGGTTCGAGTCCCGTCTGCTGCCTGGTCCGCGTGGAATTTTTTTTCTAGTTATATTTTCTTTAGATTTAAAACATCAAGCAGTTACATGCTTTAAAAATAATAAAAATTATAACTATAATTGCTATTTCTTCTTTCAAATGTTTAATACTTGTAAAAGTATTCATTTGACATTGTGGGTTTACCTATAATGCGAAGAGATGGCGCTGCCTTGCAGCTTAAGAATAGCTAGAAAGGATTTCGACGCGGTCCGTGAGGGCCGCGGTAGCATAATTGGTCAGTGCATTCGCCCGGATTGCGAAGGGTGCGGGTTCGAGTCCCGTCTGCTGCCTGGTCCGCGTGGAATTTTTTTCTAGTTATATTTTCTTTAGATTTAAAACATCAAGCAGTTACATGCTTTAAAAATAATAAAAATTATAACTATAATTGCTATTTCTTCTTTCAAATGTTTAATACTTGTAAAAGTATTCATTTGACATTGTGGGTTTACCTATAATGCGAAGAGATGGCGCTGCCTTGCAGCTTAAGAATAGCTAGAAAGGATTTCGACGCGGTCCGTGAGGGCCGCGGTAGCATAATTGGTCAGTGCATTCGCCCGGATTGCGAAGGGTGCGGGTTCGAGTCCCGTCTGCTGCCTGGTCCGCGTGGAATTTTTTTCTAGTTATATTTTCTTTAGATTTAAAACATCAAGCAGTTACATGCTTTAAAAATAATAAAAATTATAAGAATAGGAAAGCCAATGTATCACCAAGGGGAAGAGGGAGTTAAAAAATGACAAAAGAAACATCGTTCGACAATGACTCTATCGACATGATGGTGACAGAGACTAACAGATACGCCGAACAGAGGGTATCTGTAGCCAGACAAGACTACTAAGAAAGTGCTCACCCTCTGCGATGGAAACCAAGTGACCGTAATGAAATGCTGGGATTTTTGGCAATAATGATATTGCAAGGATTATACCCCAAAGTAAAAGAGGAAGCCTATTTCTCATTTGATGGGTTTGGGACGACTCCTTACTTTGGGCGTATAATGTCATACAATCGATATCATTTGCTAAAAGCATTCCAGCATTTTATCGACAAAGACTCGACCACGGACTTGACAAAACTGAATAAAATACGACCTGTACTAGACTATTTAAATGTCAAATTTGCCAGTTTGTACAAACCAGCCCAGGAGATAGCCATAGATGAATCTTTGCTCAAGTGGCACGGGCGTCTGAGCTTCTCACAAAAATTAGCTCCAAAGCCGCTCAAGTGGGAGTGAAGACGTACGAGCTGTGCGAGTCATCGACGGGCTATCTCTGGCGATTTTTTGTATATACTGGCAAAGACAGACCGAACAGGACTGATAGGACAGGACAGGACAGACCGGACAACAGTCAGAACGACCCAGACCATGACCGCTCCGACGACGGCAGTCGCGAAGTTCGTTCGAGCAATGCTACTGCCAAAATTGTTTACGACCTGATACAGCCACTACTTCACAAGGGGCATACGCTAATAATAGACAATTTCTATAATAGCGCGCTGCCTTTGAGGCAGGAGGTGACGAACAGACAGATGTTTACGGCACTTTAAGACTTTCTCGAGAATTTGTTCCCGAGTCAATCAAGACTTTGACGAAGAGTAACATACGAAAGGGTGAAGTAGTGGTGACGTACTGCTCCGATCGGGGGGTGATGTTGTGGCGTGATGCTAACTTTGTTAGCAAGATTTCCACATATCATCCCCTCCAGATTGGAACAAGAGACAGACATGACCGACTGACTTACAAACCAGCGGTCGTCCTGGACTATAAGGATGGATCGAAAGATTCCTTGCGAAAGGCACAGAGACAGGGTGTGGTACAAAAAGCTGTTTCGTCGGCTATTCAATGCAGCTATTTTAAACTGCTTTGTTATATTTACAAGTGACCACACCCACAAACTACAACATCGACAGTTTAGGACAATCTTGTGCGAGGACTTACTAAAAATACATATACAGATTGACCTAACTTTTGAACCGCGACTTCTTACGCAAACACAACGGGTGACGACGACGACGACAGCGACGACAACGACTACGACGAGAGTGACTTCTATGGCCATAATACGGCAAAGAGCTCAACCATACGTCGAAGGGAACCACTTCCCTGTCCCTCGGGTTCGAAAAACATACGCTGCTGGATGTGAACTGTAAATAAAAAGCCATCCAGAACAGCTTACAAGTGCCCAGAATGCGATGTGAACCTCTGCATCGTCGACTGCTTCAGGGAGTACCACAAACTCGGAGGGCGGTACGGTGAGCAATAGGCCGCGTACTCAGCCCCCATGCGCGGGCCATCCTGCGCACGTCTGCGGGGTCCCCGCAATACCCCGGGAGACCCCTGCCGTGGAGCCCCGGCGAAGCCGGGAAGCTGCTGGGTGCGGAGTCGTGGTAGAATCCCTAAACGGGGACCGCGCGGCTTCGCATTAAGCAGTGTAGAAGGTATTCGCAGGACTTTTTTAGAGGATATTATACCGTAAAGCGCCCGTAAGAGTTGCGGGGTTCTCGGTGGGCAGCCACTGGGGAGTTCGTAAGACTTTCGGAAGCCAGGTGTGAGGTCCGTTCGGCGGTGTATATAAAAAATATATAAAATTTTGTTAATTTGTACGCACTAAAAATTCTTCAGTTACGCACGCAGACAGTTGTAACACAAAATCCACAGAGTTCCTTATTATAAACAAAATCACACCAATTTTTTTTCACAATATCCAATATGAACGAATTTAAGAATAATTAAAATAAGACGCCAACCACACTCGATGAAATCCCGCCAAAAACTCCTTTGTTATTTTTTTTACTTAAAACTAACCAACCCGGCTACAACGCATTAAAGTTAAGCCTTAAGAACGGCGGTCATCTTGTGAATATTTCTATCGCCCGACCACGGACCTAAAAAAAAGACGGACGTAACCTCGTCTAATCACGAGTGAAGCATGCAAATGGCCGCCCGTTTACCGTGTGTGCGTGATTTGAGGGTGGTCATATAAGTCATCGATTTCCCTATTTTTTAAATGTCTCAAACTAAAATATTGTTAACACTATGTAGGTAATCCTGTTATTGTCATATGTATTTATTACAATAACGGGATATTTACTATATTTTTATTAGATGTGAGCTCCCGATATTTCAGCAATTTAAACGAGTGCACTTTAGTAACATAATGTTGGCCTATCAAACATCATTTTTATGACGAACGTTAAAAAAATGAAAACACTTGCTACGAATAAAGTAATTTATTATTTACATAAAAATTAAGTATCTGAATATTATACATTAATATACCTAAATCGCGCAGATTAATGCTTAAAATAAAAATATAATAGACTAATATTATTATTTCTTCTTTTAAATGTAAGTGTTTCATTCATAGATTTAGTAGGTATTTAAAGACTGACAGAGTGAGGAAAAGAGATATGTCGACATGGGGACAGGAACTTCAGAAAACTGTCAAACCCTTGCTTCTGAAGCTAATTGATACCGTGTATTAAGAATACGAATATTCTTAATACACGATATCAATTAGCATTTTAAATTACCTCTGTGATATTTACTGGTAAGTGCAGAGCAGAAATTTAATTTAATTTATTTATGTCTTTTAAAAAGTTATGATGCAGGCTTAAAGTCGCATGCTTAACATTCGATATACAAAAACAGAACACAGAAAAACAAGCCAACTAGTTCCCTGCCTCAGCTTAATACTACAGCAACACGAGCGCTGCTGCAACGCTGATAATTCTGGCAGGGTTGACGAGACATTTTAATTTAATAATAAAACAGAAGATTAGAACCATACCAATCAGCATGACAAAAAAATAACAACATAGGCTGAATGCTTTTAGTATCTTAAGCCTTAAAACAAGAGAAATGAATTTATTAAAAAAATAAAATAAAAATGAAGTAAGTTTTATCTATGACAAACTAGAACTTACAAAAACCATAACTAAAACCATACAATAAAAAAACACAAAGAAATAATTAGTTACAATCAGTTGCTAAACACAAAAAAGTTTGCTACATATTTACGTATATATATAAACAACAAAGAATTCACAGCGAGAACATATCATTTTATAAAACGTATAAAATATTCTATGACTATTATGGCTTCTATTCTTTTCCTTTTGGGATACGGAGGGTTCCATAAAAAGTTAAAAGTTACGAAATCTGACCTTACCGAGTCACAAATGCAAGAAATTCAAAATTCCCTACTTTTAGGGAAAATTTCCCGTAAATAAAGTAGCCATACAGTTGTATTTTTGTTTACAATTTTCATCCCAGTAAATAAAATATAATATGGAATAAATATCAAGAATTGTCAATACTTACGCATGGTGGGTAATTCCTTGTGACTTTTTAAATATATTCTTGTAGTTTTTACAGGATTTCACCTCACAAGACGGCATTTTTAATTATTTTTATCAAAGCATTTGAATGTGTGACTGCCGCTGTCACGCGGGGTCAAATGGCAGCGGTTTGTCCGACCTGGTGCATTAGTGTGAGTGTAGGTAGTATACAACAAACGATTTTGTCTGACCTTGCATGCTTCACATGATTTGCCTTTGATGTTACGTCCGTCTTTTTTTTTAGGTCCGTGCGCCCGACATGGACGAAGCCGTTTTGGGTAAGGAGTCGACAGGGTGTTAGATTTTGCTTTACTGAATTTGATACAGATTGAATAAAATAAAGTTTTTGATACCATTAAAAAGGTAGTTAAAGTAAGTTTCCAAATTAACATTAGAAAAAAAGGGTTTAATTTTAAAAGTTTATTTAAAATTGACGTTTTGGTCAGTTCTACCCGCTGCTGTAGTTAATCGGTTTTTGAGTTACAGAGATCCAAATATTCTGTGGTGGATTCTTTATTTAATCAGCTTTACGGTAGTATTTTTTGTTTTGTCCTAGCTTCATTATGTAGCAATAAAATGGCATTTATACCTAATAATCCTGAGTGGGTTTTTTTTTACAATGCGCGCATTGTGCGGACTATTGGGAGGTGCGGGGCGCGCAGTAGCGGACTACAGAGTGGCTGGCTAGTCACACACACTGCGCCAGAGCGCGCCATGACACGACACAGTAGTGTGCACACTCACCGTCACGACAGTGAGCGCCACGACACGTTATTATGTTTCTGGTTTAAACAATCATGCTTTAACATGCAAGGATGAAGCACATGAACGAAGGATTCCACTAATGGTGAAGTCAAGCCCATTAACTTATCTTGCTAAATTGTTCGCCCCAATCTTTTAGTATATTTAGGTTTTAGTATATTTAGGTTAGTATTACATAATAGCTACATTTACTTTTACATTAGATAGAATCATGATCATGAAAGGAGTACCTCTTAAATTTGTTACAAACATAGTATTGAGTTATCTTTACCGGAAAAACCGCGTGCTCACGTGGGTGTTCGTGCCGCAGACGGCACGCTAGTAGCAACAAATGAAGAGCGCCGCTTGAACGAGTTTTTCACATCCGCATTTCATAAGATTTAACGGTATTAAGAAACAAAACTATTGAAATACAATACAATAATTTGTAGTCCGCACAGCGCAAACCATCCCGCCCTATCAAACGACCCAACCTATCCCTTTATGCCAAACGTTCACTGCGGCAGAAAATTGTGCAGTCATGCTAGCACATCGCATGTTTTCGTATTTGCTATTATTTGTCATTTTGACAGCATGTCATGTGTGTCCTTTACATGCCTTTTATGGAATGAAAAGGAAAGACTCTTGTCACAACAGTACGAGTACAAATAGCAACGCATAAGAATTATTTGTGAAGTGCCGGCATCATAAAGGCACCCATACTGCGTCACAAAGAACATTTTCGTCATTATATTTATATTTTTTATTTTTTTTTTGTAAACCTAGTAATAAAACTTTAAATTATGCTATTAATAAAGTATTTAGTTATATAAGGCTGATTTACACTTCGGTAAGTACGGTAGCTAGTTTACAAATTGGACAGTTAAGCAGTATGTACATAACTGGCAAATCCCTGTCCAAAGTTTGACAAAAACTTAACTCGCTAAGACCGTAAGTTGTTAACTCGTTACTGATGTTGATTCTAACGTGATGATTATCTAGACTTAAAACTAAATTTAACATCATTTTTTTTTCAATTTGTATACAAAATGACAAGGATACGCAGTTGTCAAATTTAAGTTTAGGTATAGTGAATCATGCCAGAATCGATACCACTGTACTTACCGAAGTGTAAATCAGTCTTTATGTATACATTAAGCCGGAAATATAAATTTGTCTGTCGTGTTGTGTCGTGACATGTCAGATAGGTATTGCTTTCATATATTTAGTATGGTTAGAATTATATTTGTGTATCGCGATGTGTCTACACCGTACTACCGTACTAAATGTATTAAACGGACAGTTCTCTGACGCGTCTCGACCATGGCACGAGACTCGACGCAACACAAGAGACAAGTATATTTCCGGCTTTATAATTAATTATTTTTAAATTTTACTTTCAAATAAATAAATAAATGTAGTTCTTGAAATGGATTGGAATTTTGCATGGTAATAATATTAATTTAAATGCTTGGTCATCACAGAGCAATAATGTTCCGAAATATCATTGTTCATGATATTTGTATTCTGAGGAATGTGTACCACAGAGTACAATATCAGTGACAAAATACGTTTCCTTCAGCGATATTCATTTGTTGAAAATGGAGGCGTGATGGAAGTGCGATTGTTGGAAAAGCAGGAATTTCATGTTACTGATTGTCTTATTAATATAGTGAGTTGAAGTATACTAGGGGCCGTATCGTTTTTCAATTATGTTAAAAAGAATATCTGCAGCATTTATTTAGCCCTAGCGCTTCGCATATCGGTGTAATTTGAGGGAGAGACTGCGAGCCTATTGATAGGTAGGTATGCTAATAAATTTTACCATGCTCGGTTCAGAAATGAATTATTTTGCCTTGGTGTCTGTACCTCGTTCTGGATTAAGTTCTGTTTCCTTATTTTTAAGTAGATAACTTAAATTGTAAATAAAATGCTTCCCTATTTGGTGGTCCAGCACCAATGTCACATTCATGCAGTGTAAATGTGAAATAGATCAATCTAAATATCTACTTGGTACAAAGGTACTTATTGCTTTCATCAGATCCGAAAATCACCATGGCTGGAAACAAAATAAACACGAAAACAAAAGGCAGAGAAGATAAATCTAAAACTAATAAAGGCATGATTCAGAATATTGAAGATAGTGAAGATGCTGATTTTTCTCTTCTTAGAAAACCAATATTTACTAGTGTTACTGGTTTTGCTCAAGCAAGAAAAATCTTTGATTTGGCTACTGAAGAAGTAAGTTCTATTAGTTGATGTGTTACATAATCCTAGATAATAGGTAACTCCTATAGAAATACATTTTAATGCATACTTTATTTGTTTTCAGCTCAAAGGGTTAATTTCCAATGAATGTGATCTTCTATATGAATGTAAAGTATGCAGAAATATCTTTAGAAGTTTGGCCAATTTTATTTCTCACAAACGTGTATACTGTACAGAACAGTATAGTACAACAGTACATGGCCAATTTTTCAAAATGAATTCAACTGTAAGTTCAGATATTAATTCGTTTTTGTATTTTTTATTATCACATTACATTAATTATAACTGTCACAATTTTTTTTAAATTTTAGGATAATGAAATGATGAAGATTAAAAAAATAGAGGAAAGTTATTTTGAATCATTAAAAGATAAAGAGAAAATTGAAGTTGTTCAAGATAATGAAGCTGATAATAGAATACCACTAACAAAGGATTTAACAGCCATATTAGAGAAGATTATGAAAAGCAAAGAGAAACGTGGAAGTACTACTGATGAGTCACAGTTAATTTTACAAAAGATACCAAACAGCTCTGTAGCAGTATTTCAAAACATTGATAGTGTCAATGAAAAACATGACAAGATGAAAGCCCAAGTGTGTATTACATATTTTTTAATAATAATTAATACTAGACATTTTGTAAGGGTGTTTACTTTTTATGCTATTCTGGCACAAAAGTTCACTTATAAATATACTTTTTATTAATGTTTTGACTGCATAGTCCTAGTTTCTATTTCTCAGTAGAAAATAAGTCTTTAAAAGTAGAAGTAAAGGCCAGTCTGTTCTGAGTGTTTATAGCACCTTCATTATACCTAATAACCATAATGTGTCATTCAGGTAATTACTTTGCTTTAAGATTTATGAATTATCATTAACTCAGTAAGTAAGCGTCTTCCAATATTTTAGACTTGCATTTGGCATGATTATGATGTCTGGTAACAAAATTAGAAGAAACTGTGATTGATTTGAATTTAGGGAATTTGATCCTTTTTTAAATACCTATAATACTAATATAATTATCACCTTTACTTTCAGGTAGAAGAACTTGACAATATTTTGTCTCAAGATAAGGCTGTACTACAAAGCGATGGAAAATTTAAGATACAAAGTAATATCTCCTCTGATACAGATAATGTCATACAAATTAGTGATGATGAAGAAAATAATAGTACTAATATCCTCAAATGCAAAATTTGTAAGTGTTGTATATTTATTTATCATCTTTATTATCTTCTGACCTTATGAAAAGATAATTCGAATAATCACAATAAAAACAATGCAATTTCAGGTGGTCACAATTTTTCTACTCTAAAAACACTCAAATTTCATATGAAGTACAAACATCTGGAAAGCAGATTAGTTTATTCATGTCCAGATTGTCTAGAAATTTTCTCCACATCATGGAGTGTATACCGACATCTTTTCAAAGTGCATCGGTACGTAAAACATTCTTTCTCTGATTCTTGTTGATTTTTTTATAACATAAGGTGTCAATGCCCAACAAGAACCCAATATATTTAGCGATCGGTTACCCACTCTTATTTTCATTGAACATAAGTCAATATCTCTATAGGTACTAAATATCAAAAAGTAATATTTATCCAATATTAAATTAATTTCCACAGCAAAACTGCTGCACAAATAAGAAGACTACGGGAATCAATTCAGTCAAAAGCATTTAAGATGAATAATCCACCAGCATTTTATGAAAAACGCAAAAACACCAAACCACCAACAACTCAAAAAATTAGTGAGGAAGAAAGATTAGATCAAGAAAATCAGGTTTGTTTTATATATTTTATTTAAGTACATAAATAAATAAATATATCTTTACTTTATGTAACAATTTTAAGAAGACTGACAGCTATAGGCAGAGCTGTCAGTCTTCTTAAAATTGTAAAATAAAGTAAAGATACATTTATTTCTTCTGATATTGAAAATAAATTTGGTCTCAATTTATTTTGCATTGCTATCTCTATCTATACATCTATCAAGAGGATCACTCATAGACCAAAGCGGTAGGCTGATGTAAGCTGCACAAATACATAGGACTTTTAAAAACCCCAATAAAAAGCAAATCTCGACGTCGACAACGGGAAATCTTAAAACATGTCCCGACTCAGCAGTTAAGCAGCCGCGCACCTACTCCGGTGGTACTACCTACCCTTTGACTCTTTAACAGTTCGCGCACTATGGAAATACTAATGTGCTAAACATTAGGGACGGACCGGGTCACGCATTGATGGATTTTCGGTATAGTTTAATATGTGGAGGTTTTAAATTGGCTGTTAGATAATATTTTTTGTTTATTCAATAAGTGATTGATAGCTGAAAACCTTCCAAAATAAAGTAAATTAATAAATAGTGTTCTGCCAGACGTCCATGCAACGTTTTTTCTTCACAGCTGCAACAAGCTACTGGGAAAATAAGAGTGGTAGTTTTGACTTGCATTTATGTACATAAGGAGGTGCCGCACCAACCATCTTTGCAAATGTTGTAAAAGTAGGTAATAATCGTGTATCTCAATGGTGTTTCAGTAGTTTTGATTTTTGATACAGTTGTTATTTTGTGTTTTAGTCACAAAAACTTATAAATAAAAAGCTATACTATTCAACCACTATTACGTTAGCGTTACAGTAACGATTATAACGTTAGCTTAGCCGAACCGACACCATGGTGCGGTGGAGTAAAGTTGCAGACCTTTTAAGTCAAATATAGTTATCATAGATTTATATAGAAATTAAGTATAAACATCAAATTCAATTCGGGTTTCAGGCATTGATATGGATATGCACGTATGCATATAGATAAAACTCATTGATTGAATAAAATTAATTTTCGATTAGATAACTAATTTTATACAATCCAATTTAGTCAAAAAAAAATATCTTTTATTTGATGACCTCCGTGGTCGAGTGTTTTGTACGCCGGGATTCATGGTGTCGCCGACTCGAGAGGTCCCGGGTTCGAATCCCTGTGGGGGCAGATGTTTGTGTGATGAATACAAGCATTTGTACTCCAGTCATGGATGTTTGATATGTATTTCTATATAAATTTACTTATATATGTACTGTATATGTATTCTATCCGTTACCGTAGTATCCCATAACACAAGCCTTACAGTGCTTACTTTGGGGCTAGGCTAATTGGTGTGTTTTTAAAAAAAACGAGCGAGCCTTACAGTAGTCGCGTATGATGTGTAACATTTGAAACCTCACCTTATATTAATAAAAAAAGAAATAAAACCTACTACAAAAGGAATAAGCCATTAGAACATTATGTTCTAAAATCAAATCAAATAGCGCGCGCTTCCTAAACTTCCTGTTACACACTTCTGTCCCACTTCACGTAATCACTCCCACAAATTGCACGAAAGCGAGAGGGAAGATTTTACACATCAAAAATGTTTATATGTGTGTTTATATCCATGTTATCTTTGCAGGCGTGGGTGGACAACGTAGAAGGCGATAGTGAAATACCCCGTTGTTTCGGGTGCGGCCGCACGTTTGAACGGCGAGCGGCACTAGCGGCGCACACGCATACTTGCCAACCGCGGTCTCGGGCACTAGCGCGAAGACCGCAAGAAACTAAGAAGATTGAGATTCAGATCAGGAAAGACTACAACAAAGGCCCGGCTGCCAACTTGAACTTGCCAATCAAAACTACAGAATCCAATGGTAAGAAAACTGTAGGTGTTTGTATGTTAAATATGTTCTTGTTTATTAGCGATGCTCCATCGTATATATTGATAATAATGAAATTAGATGAAGAAATAGCCATTGCAACTCAGAGATACCGGGCTAGGCTAGAGACTCACTCGAACATACTAGCAACACAACTTATGACTCGGAGTTATATCAAACAACTTAAAAGGAAAGACAGAGAGATAAAGAGATTTTAGGAGATGTCCTTACTGAAGGACACACTCTTTCACCCCAATGTTCATCCAACCCATTTGCTTATAGTGGCACACACTGATCGCAAATTACAAGTTATAATTTAAAAAAATGTACATTGTCAAACCGATATGTGATATACAACATTAAAAGATTCAAAATATGCATGTTCCTCTTTCTTGTGTGGAAGAATGTTAATTTTTCAATCATATTTTTTTCCTTTTTAATACGTCATACCTGTGTGATGAAGTAAGTAATTGACCGTGCTTTGAATTACATACAATACAACCACAGAATATCCATGCCCCATAATAATGTTTGATGTAGTGTTATATTATTTGTTTCTTAGGTTTTCACACACACCACTCATTAAATAAAACAAATTTTAACGGTATAGATGCTTTGATTTGTTTATTATTTATAATAATGCATAATTCTGACGTCGCAGCCTGAAAAGGATGCGAAACGTCATAAATAAATAAATTAGTGCATCAGTGATATTGTTATTTTGTATATCAAATTACAGAGAACAAAACTCCGAATGAAGAGGTTACAAGCATCAATAAGCAGGATAAAGAGGTGGAAACAAAAGAATTAGAAAATGGAGTTTCTGAAGAATTACTTTTGGATACTTCCGAATCTTTAGAAAAAGTTAAAGAATCACCTGAAAAGCCTTTGGAGGCTTTATCTGAAGTACCTAAGCCATTACTTAAATTACCATTTGCGCAACACATTGAAAAGTCTAACCTTAGCGCTCTAAGGCTGAGAATACAACCAGATATTGAAGTAAATAAACTTTTATGCAAGAAGTGTGATATTCAACATGATACAGTGCATGAATTGTATGATCATATGGCTGGCCATTACAAGTGGATGCGTTATGCTTGCAAGTTATGTAACTTCAAACATTATAATCTGGAGAAACTACCAGAGCACGTCAAAATAGTACACAAACTGAAAGGTGACAACGATTTTTACTTTAGCACTGTGAAAGCCATTGATGGTAATGAAGCATTAGAGTTATCTGAATGTGTTGATGAAAATACTGATGTGAATAGTACGAGTCCTGATTCTCGCCGCCAAAGTCGATGCTCTAGTGACTCGAGTCGACTATCAGATGATAGTTCTTCAAGTAGCACACGCCCCGAAACAGGGGCACGTAAAAGAAAAATGTGTCAGCTGAAAGGATCCGCTAAAAGAAAAAGAAGCACTTTGAACAATGGTAAGTGAAATTATGTTTGTGGTTGTACATTAGTTAACAAACTGAAAAGTATATTGTTTCATAACTGTTAATTTTTCTTTTAGATTATTATGATGAAAAATGTGCTGATTTTAAAAAAGAGACAAATGGTACAACAGAAAATTATTCGCCTCCAAATGTAAAGACATTTGAAGAAAACTCGTCAGATATGGATGAAATCGAAGATAAGATATCAAAAATATCAAAGCAATTAGCTGGGAATCATGCATCTGTAGCATCACGTCGACCCGTTCGTAAAAAGACAAAACCTAAAAATGAGGATTTTGAGTATGATTTATCAAATTTGCTAAAGATGGAAGCTCAAGGTTACAGAGATTCGCAGTCACTAGGAACGAAAACCAATCAACCTAAAGATAAGAAGAAACCAACACAAGACAATGCCAACTATTATGAAATCCTCAACCGCGATTGTAGTGGTGCCTTAGCCACTCTATCTAAAAGAGCAGTTGAAAACTTTACGGCGCAAATGAAAAATAGTAATTTTACTTCACAAAATGCAGTAAAAGAACCAAAATCATCTAATATATTCGTGAGGCCTATGTTACCTAAAGGTATTTATAGAGGAGAAAGATACTCTCCTAATAAAAAGGATGTTGCTGATGATTGTTCTAGCCCACCAAAAGACATGAAGATGAATAAAGTTATTTCTGATGAGGCTGAGGATGAGGCTGGGAATGAGGTTTCTAAAACTCCTGAAAAAGATGTGACAACTGGTCCCTCTGACCCAGTCAAACCGGCTGCCATTCTATCCGCACCCGCCGAGACAGCAAATGCAAATGAGGAAAAAGTCGACCCAAACAGCACAATAAAACCGAATTTAAACATTCCAGCTGTCGTACCAATTAAATTTCGCCGTCAAAGTTTAGAAGTAATGAAAAATCCGCTTATAAACAAAAATATATCGGAATTTAAAAATGCAGGCATGAAAACAAAAATTCTAGTTATTAAACCAATCAACAGGAACAAAGACGGAACTTCTGTACCAAAAGCGCCTTTAAAATTTCAAACTATCAAATTGAAGGATCCTTCTAAATGTCTAACACCAAACGAAGAAAAAGCGTCTGATCAAGTAGTAGTGGTGAAAGTTCCCGCAGTTGACTGCGCGATATCGCTTCCGAATTCTGATAAAAATGCAGTAAATTGTGATGAGAACACACCGGTAGTCGATACTTTTAATAATAACGATACATCTGAACAATTAACTCCACCCATAGGTAACAAAAACATAAATAAAGCTGACATTTCTGCCATTATTGCCACTAAAAGCATATTAGGGATTAATGATATGGATATAGATGAAAATGATAAAATTGCCTCTAACGAGAGTAAAGTTGAAACAGAACAAAATGTGGTAAATGAGACTAAACAACCATTAGAAGGGGAAGTAATAGAAGCAGCAACGTAACTACATAACCCGTCAATGTACGTTTTTATGATCAACAGGGTGCTCAAATTCCACATTTTTGTCCGGTTAATCTGGCTGATTAATGTAATTATTGCAAACAATGATATATAATAATAGTCCAAAAATACATGTAAAATTCACTTCAACCTACATGATTGTCATGTTGATCATAGAACAAGCTTAAATCGCTTACAATATTTTATAATGTGCATTAAAGATTTGAGGTACCTACTTAGGTCATATGCCTAGTACTACATGTTTAATATTGACATTTGTTTTTAGCAACCAACATAATTAGGATGTACAGCCAGCAACAATTTAAGTTACCAGCAAAAGCCACAATCAGTCTCTTCAGTTATTTAGGAGATATTTGAATTTGTTTTTTTTTTATATTTCAAAGTGTTAAACAGCTATCTTTATCATATCTGAAGAATATTTTTACTATAGAAAAAAATCAAATGTTCCAAGGTCCCCCATCCAATAATCCAGCCTGATACCAACCTTGGCCAAGTTAACTTTTGCTAGTATTTCTTTAGTTTTAGATTAATTAATTTGAGCTGTTCTGTCTGTACCTTATATCCTGACTTGTCAAAATGATGCCTATTCTCTGCTAGCCGTTCTCTCATTTGGTTAAAATAAGCATTATATTTATCCCTATTCCGTCCTTATGGAACGCCTGTGCCCAAGCACTGAGGAAGAGGCATTACATGAGTTAAAATTATTGAGTTTTAAATATACCTATATACAAAAAAAAACAGCCACCAACAGTCCTCACTTTGATGAACTAAAACACGGACAACAACAAAAATGTGTTAGTAAATATTTTATAGACTCCTCTAAAAAATTAGATTTTTTGTTAAATATATATACGTATATTTTAGTTGGTTCTTGTCAAGTTTTCTCATTCATGTAAGTAAACAAAACTGATGCTTATATGATTACTTAGGTATTATTTTATGTAAGTATGTTAAGTTCTTAGGTAGAAGAAATAAAATTATTTACTGATGAATTGAAGGTTTAGCATTTTTATTTTATAATGTCGGACCAGATCAGATATGGTTTGTCCTATCCAGTAAAAAAAAACATTTGATTTATTATAACTAAATACATTAATATTATATGTAAGTATATTATAGATAGATCCAAAAATCAAAGTCAGAAATCAAGTCAGAGAAAGGCCAGCGAAGCAGATTATTACTAAATACACTTCTGGACACATCTATTAGGCCCACCTTAGAGTTTAGGTTTCGATGGACCCTACCGAAATATGATTGCTAGATTGAACAAAAACTGTTGATGCAGTGTTAAACCTGATACATTTTACCATCTTTTTCGATCGTATTGTTTTAAATTTGAATTCAGAATACCATACGACATGGAGCTACGCCTAACAAGTCGGATATGCGCCTTGTTAAAGGCAATTGATTTTTGAATAAAAAACATGTTTTATCAAATAAAGGTTTAATTTAATAACGCGTGTTGCTTCCATGGGCATCTACCACAGCTCTCATACGATTAGGCATAGAGTTTATCAACCGCTCTATGAAATTTTGAGGGATCATCTCCCATTCCTCTTCTATGGCAGTTTTCAACTCCTGCATCGTCTGGGCAACTGGCTGACGAGCCCTAACACGTCTTTTTAGCTCGTCCCACATGTGCTCAATGGGGTTCATGTCTGGGCTTCTGGCTGGCCAGTCCATAACTGTGATGAATGTTCACATCCCGAAGATATTCCCTGACGATGCCGGCCGCATGGGTTCACGAAAATAAAATAACAAAGTGCATGCAATAACCTTTATATTAAGTAAAGTGCGCACCGAGGGTTCCGTACAAACTCAATTTAATACCTCTACGCGTTCATGAGAAAAGAGGTAGTAAGTTTAAAATTTTCAAAAATATTTTTTATTATATGATGTAACTAAACATTTACGGTTTTCGCAATTTTTCCTTTATCTGTACTATAAGACGTTATTTCGTACCAAATTTCAAGATTAAAAGTTCACGGCAAGTTCTCTGTAGGTTTTGATTCCCGTGCGAGTTTCGAAAATTTGCAGAAAGCGGCATAAACGGCTGTATCTTTTGATTGCTTTGGCAGCTCAGTTGATTTTTTCACAGCTCCAAGGGACAGTAGACTTGAATATTAGATATGAATTTCAGTTTACCTCCACGCGTCCCTGAGAAAAATGGTCTTGACAGACGAACGGACGGGTGGACGGACAACAAAGTGATCCTATAAGGGTTCCGTTTTTTCCTGTTGAGGTACGGAACCCTAAAAAGAAACAGAAGGTTCATTTGATTACAGCAGAATTAATCTTCTGTTTTTCTTTTTAAATATATCCACTACTACATTCACATCAATTTCTATCCCATAGTAAATATTCATGAGAGCCAAGCAGTTCAGTTTGTTTTTACTCGTTGTGTTCCGCAAGTATAGATTGAAAACGACCTTTCTGGTGTAGCAGTGAAAACAGGTATGGTAGGCAATATTTGTAACAACGTGTTACTATTTGGACATAATTTTTGATCGCACTTATCTAAGCATTCCAAAGCAGATTTTCGAGTAGAGGAGGTTGTTGTCACAGCTGCTTTCCACACTTCAAGTTCTGCTTTGACAACAGACGTACTTCTTTCGGGTAGCACTGCCGAGACAGGGAGCGCGAGTGGGATAGTGTGGGTGGGCATACATAACAATACCGTGCCGATACGAAACAAAAATATACGAAGGTTACTGAATGCGATTAGGATAAATGACGACGGGCGGCGACGGATGGTAGAGGGCGAATCCAAAATACATTATTAGTGTAATAATTAGTAATTAAATAAGTTATGCCGCTCGCCTTTCCTTATTTTGATATTATTGATGTTGATATCTTAACTTTTCGGGGGGGTGGGGGGGGGGGGGGGGGGGGGTTTGAACCCCCAAAACCCTCCCCCTGGCTACGCCCTTGGTCTACAGAGTTCACTGGTGTGCACGGGCGTAGCTAGGTTTGAGTATCGGGGGGGGGTTCAAGAAAATAAAATTCCTGAAAGTGCATAACCTTTATATTAAGTAAATGAAAAATATGAAATATGTAAAAAAACTCGGACGCGGACTCGCGCACCGAGGGTTCCGTACAAACTCAATTTAATACCTCTACGCGTTCATGAGAAAAGAGGTATAGTAACTTTAAAATTTTCAAAAATATTTTTATTATATGATGTAACTGAAAAAAGTTCAAGATTCTGAGTTCACGGGAAGTACTCTGTAGGTTTTGATTCCCGTGCGAGATTCGAAAATTTGCAGAAATTTGCGGCATAAACGGCTGTATCTTTTGATTGCTTTGGCTCAGAAGTTTGCTTTTTCACAGCTCCAAGGGACAGTAGACATGAGTATTAGATATGAATTTCAGTTTGGTATCTCCACGCGTTCCTGAGAAAAATGGTCTTGACCGACGGACGGACGGGCGGACGGACAAGAAAGTGATCCTATAAGGGTTCCGTTTTTTCCTTTTAAGGAACGGAACCCTAAAAAGAAACGGAAGGTTCATTTGATTACAGCAGAATTAATCTTCTGTTTTTCTTTTTAAATATATCCACTTCTTCATTGACATCAATTTCTATCCCATAGTAAATATTCATTCATCGAGAGCCAAGCAGTTCAGTCTGTTTTTACTGGTTGTGTTCCGCAAGTAGTTTTTAAGTCTCCTTAGGCTTGAAAACGTCCTTTCTGGTGTAGCAGTGGAAACAGGTATGGTAGGCAATATTTGTACAACGTGTAAATATTTTTATATAATTTTTGATCGCACTTATATAAGCATTCCAAAGCAGATTATGGAGTAGGGGAGGTGATAGTCACAACTGCTTTCCACACTTCAAGTTCTGATTTGACTTTTACATCTTTCGGGTAACACTGCCGAAAGTGGTAGCCACTCGCACTCCGTAGTGTGGATACGAAACGAAAATATACGAAGGTTACCGAATGCGATAGGATAAATGACGACGGGCAGCGGCGGGTGGTAGGGGGCGAATCCAAAATACATTATTACTGTAATAATTAGTATTTAAATAAATTATGCCGCTCGCATCTCCTTATTTTGATATTATTGATGTTGATATCTTAACTTTTCGGAGGGGGGTTTGAACCCCCAAAACCCTTCCCCTGGCTACGCCCATGCTGGTGTGGCAAGACGACGTGGGTTTTGTCCCAAATCCACCCTCAACTTCGTCGGCGTGAAAATTTAGTTTGGCATACAAACATTCACCCCTTCTCACTAAAAGACAAAATCTATCCTTTATCCCGGGACTCGAAACTATTTTATTTATTAATTTAAGGAAACTTGCAGCTAATACATGTTTGTGTAACAAAACTATGTCAGTGAGTCATTTAAGTTTTAACTGATAACTTTTTATAGACTATGATGATTATGATTTCTATACCAAATTCGATCTAAATCGGTCCAGCAGCTTAGATGTGAACAGGTAATAGACAGAAAATTACAATTTCGTCTTTACTTTTATAGGTTGAATCGAACTTTGGTATACTTACTTAACTCTTAGGAATCGAGATTTTGCAAATTGTGCCGTAAGTGGGCCATAAATTAGCTAGCTACACACATAAGCGGGCTGGCATTAATCAGCACAGCCGAGCGGTAAAATCGAATATGTATAATATGTATGAATGTTTGGCAATGATTACTTTGGGTCGGCTTTCTTTGTTGTTCGTTTATACCCTTAGGTATAAAATGCTCGTATCGTATTCATCATACAAACATTTAGTCCAGGAAATGAAGCATTAAGGCTCGCAATTTTTTCGTCCACCATGGATTTCCTTGAAATTTTCACAGGAGGTAGTCTAAGAGCCAGTGATCCGCAGACTTACGGTATAGTAGCAAACTTCATATTAATGCTAGTTATACTAATTCATCTATCGTAGATCAAATGGTGGTTCACTATTCCCAGAGGGTTCCTTTAGGCGTGCCGAGAAGTCGAAAAGCATGAAAATCGACTTTCAAAAACGTGATCGCAGCATGTCTGCCGTTTTGATATCTTAAAATACTTATATATTTTTTTATATAGAAAAACTTAATCCTATAGGAACCGGAAAAGGTGTCTGCTACAATATAGTAGCTACTATATTTTATATAATATCATAGTTTCCAAAATTTCATAAAATTTGCGTTATTTTAGCAAAGCTAAAAATTACATAAAATATGTTATTATTATAAACATATATTTACAAAAACAGACCTATAGGTCGGTTCTGACATGCGGGCAGACCAAACAATACTTTCTCAGTCGTGCTATTGCAGTTGCATGATTTTGATTTTCTCACTCTTAATTTCGCAGGGAACTAGTGTTTCAGCAAAGCTGCAATTTATATATGTTTTTACATCATTATTATCAATCAATCAAAATCATTTATTCAGTTTAGGCTGTTACAAGCACATATAAATGTCTAGAAGCTACGCCATCGGTTCGTAAATCTACGGCGGGAGACCTTGTACTGAGAAGAACCAGCAAGAAACTCAGCAAGGGCTGTTTTTTTCTCCCTGTTTTATCATTTACAGAGTCGTCAAGTTGAAAAATGACTTCAGAGATGATTCATGAAGTCATCCTTCATTACATAATGTGAAATTATACATTAATTGTTCACCTGCATTTTGATTGCTGTGTCACACAGTATAAATACAAACAGAGTTATTTATAATAGGTGTAATTAAACATTTACATCTTAAATATCAAAGTAGTTAGGGCAGACTCATCTCCGCTGGCAGCACCCGTTCACGAGCATGACGCATGAACCAGCCATCGCTTCGCTCAACCATATTTCCTAAAATACGTTCCCTAGAACGTAACGACCCGCCTCACACGACACCACCGAAGAGACTTTTAAGAGAGCATGACTACCCATAACCCCCTATATCAACCACAACATATTTACTTATACTTAAAGTCATTTATCTGTAGGACACTGCAAACAATTACAAAGCAAAAACAATGGAGAAATCATGGCCACGCCGTTTTGTCATTCAAATCTTCTTAAATAGTCTGATATTCTTCCTTACGTAATCAGCTTTAAATACAGCTTTTCAATAGAAGTATCATCAACACATGATTCATAATATATATCATATAGAAATACCAGTTGGAATGGTTGGAACAGTTCAAACCCAAGCATTTTTGTCTGTAATATAATCAGACACTTTATAATAATATATAATATTATACATGTATATTTAAAAAACCAGACAGATAAGTCGGTTCTAAAATGCAGGCAGACTATATAATAGTTTCGCAGTCATGCTAATTGAGATACACGATATTGACTTTACGTTACGTTTTGTCTTCAGACGATTTAATAATTATTTTGAACACAAAATCGGTTATTGTGATTAAACCATGATAGATATATGTTCTCGCGGACTTTTTTGTAGGTCTTAATGGGATCTACAAACCCGTAGTACATCATTTTGTTCTATTATCAATAGTTTTTGCAGCGCACGCATAGCAATTTTATTACGGATCCCTAATTTTGAAAAAAAAATTATAGCCTATATAGCCTACCTCGATAAATGGACTACCCAACACTGAAAGAATCATTCAAATCGGACCAGTAGTTCCAGAGATTAGCGCGTTCAAACAAACAAACTCTGCAGCTTTATAATATTAGTATAGATATAGTAGGAACCGGAAAAAGTGTCCATCATTAAGTTTTTCTATATAAAAAAATATATTTTTAAAATATCAAAACGGCAGACATGCTGTGATCACGTTTTTGAATGTCGATTTTCATGCTTTTCGACTTCTCGGCACGCCTAAAGGAACCCTCTATGGGAATAGTGAACCACCGTTTGATCTACGGCTAGGGCAGATGAATTAGTATAACTAGCATTAATATGAAGTTTGCTACTATACCATAAGTCTGCGGATCACTGGCTCTCAGTCTATAGGGAATAGCTCAAGGATTATTTTCTATATCATGCTGCTGTACGCTAGAGCCTTGGGGGTGGTTGCCACCCCAACTTGGGGGTGGATTTTCTTTATTACATTTTAACTATAGATATATAGAAGTCCACGGAAAAAGTAATTCTAAGAAAAAAATGTCATGTACGTTTATTTCGTAAAACTAATATATTTTGAGTTATTCAAAGTTGAAAGTATCAGTTTTTTGATGAAAAGATCGACTTTTTTAAATGTTTTTTTGCGAATAACTCTAAAAATATGCATTTTATTAAAAAAATGGTAGAGAGCAAAATTGTAGCTTTTAAAAAAAACAATGCTTTTTTTATATTTTTTCTACGACAAATATGAACTAAGATACAGCAAATTAATGCTTAGCTTTTTTCGTCAAATGCATAAATTGGAAGATTTAAAGCGAAATAACGAGAAAAAATCACATTATTCGAAGAAAGCTCATAGAATCTCTTTTAAAGACATTTTGAAACAAAGTAAAAAAATATGTCTCTAGTATGAAAATTGACCGACTTATGATCAAAATAAGATCAGTACCCGCTTTTTTCTACGAAAAAAAACTGTGAAAACCACCCCCAAAGTACCCCCTAATTAAAATTGATCGCCACCCTTCTGTGATTCTCTTTATTTAAGTACTAATAATACACCCACGAAGTTTGACCAATTTAAAATGACTAATTCTAGAAAAATTGAGTTTAAAGAGAAAACGATATTTTTCATTTTCCGTGTTTTTAACCCTTTTCTTAATAATTTCTCCCAAAATACTAAAGATACGAAAAAAACGACAAAGTACTAAATTGTAGCTTTTTTAATGACAAAAGTTTCCCTGTATGCAGATATTTTGTACAGTGAATATTCGGCGATAGATAGCCATTTAACACCGACATTTACGATTGAACATCACCTTACTCAAGCGCTTTACTCTCCCTATTTAAAAGTTAAGGGATCTTAAGTAATTTAATTCACATAGTCTTATAGCTCCTGAAGAGCCCTACAAAATCGTCTCTGAAAAAAAAACTATCACCTAAAATGAAGGAGCAATGCTTAAAAAACCAATATTATTTTTTTTCGAAAAATTCGATTTACCCGCTTTGACTAGTTTTTAACAAGGGTAGATTGAAAGATTAAGAAATTGTATCCTAAAGCATGAAACAATCATTATTTAACTATTTTTACCCATATTTAGGTTTTTAATGTTATTTTATAATTTTTGACAATAAGGGGTAGTTTTCACCCCTAAAAAACACAAAAAGCGTACAACGGCACATTATAGAAAATGAACTAGAAGGTGAAATAAGCTTAATCCCAAATTTTTGTACAAATCGGTGCTGGTCGAAAAATTGCGAGGTTTTACCATTTTTTTAGCTTCATTTCCTGGACTAATTTGTCCCAAAGGGTTTCAAGAAGTAGGTGACATGCTGAAAACCAACGTACGGGATGTACTATCGCGGAATTTTGCGCTCTGTCACTTGGCGAACAAAATGCTTTGAACGGTTTTCTACAGTAGTTTTTACTACACCCCGCCAATCCAGGCCGCCGCGGCGCCGCACAATAGTAAGACAGAGAGTTATCCATTTATTAGCTAGCACTGGGGTATAGACCAAACTGGGGGTGCAAAATAAAATTTTACTTTTTACCCCAGGGTACCTCAGGACATATGGGAGTGAAGACTAAATATTTAAGCAAAATATTGTTAATAAAAAAGAATATCTTTTAAAAAAATAGTCACCATGATTCTAAAATATTTTATATAGGTAGTTAAAGTAAATGATGCTAAAATATAATTTACATGTCTCTGCTGAGCTGACAATTAAGACAATTTTTCTTCAATATCTCTAAAATAAGGGGAATTGAGTATTGGTTGCTTTTTAACCACAAATAGACAACTACATTGATAAAAAAAGGAATTGCTAAGATTTCGAGATACAGAGGTGGCAGTACTAGGCTGACATCAGCTTGGCATCACCTTCAAACTACCACCATATCTTTTAACATCCTAGAGTACAAGACAATTTTATTTTGTACCCCTGGTACTAAGTGAATGATTACTTACAATATGGTAATTATATAGTATGATAATTAATTGTTGTGACAATTAGTGGTGGTGCTGCTGGGGCTCATGGACACTGCAAGGGGCAATTAATGGTATATATGTTGGCAAATAAAACACAATTGATTATCACTATATTTATTTAAGAGATAGATACAATTAATTTCTCATCCTTTCACATCAATGACAATTAAGCATTCTTGGCTAGAGTCTCAGCCTTTGCAATAACTTCCTCGATAGGTCCAACCATGTAGAAAGCAACTTCAGGTAGATGATCATACTCTCCCTGTAAGATCTTGGAAAAGCCCTTAATGGTCTCTTCAAGGGGCACCAGCTTTCCTGCATGTCCTGTGAATACTTCAGCCACTTGGAAAGGCTGTGACAAGAACCTCTGGATTTTACGTGCACGGGCCACAGTTAGCTTATCTTCTTCAGACAACTCATCCATACCCAAAATAGCAATGATATCCTGCAGTGATTTGTAATCTTGTAAAATCTTTTGGACACCACGTGCAACATTGTAATGCTCAGCTCCAATGATGTTGGGGTCCATAATACGAGAAGTGGAATCCAGGGGGTCCACAGCTGGGTAGATACCAAGTTCAGCAATGGCACGTGATAGTACAGTGGTAGCATCCAAGTGAGCAAAAGTCGTAGCAGGAGCAGGATCAGTCAAGTCATCAGCTGGTACATAGATGGCCTGCACTGAGGTGATAGAACCCTTTTTGGTAGTAGTAATACGTTCCTGCATAGTACCCATGTCTGTAGCTAAGGTTGGTTGATAACCTACAGCAGAAGGGATACGACCCAACAGAGCAGACACCTCAGAACCAGCCTGAGTGAAACGGAAAATGTTATCAATGAAAAGCAATACATCTTGACCTTCTTGGTCACGGAAATATTCAGCCACAGTCAGTCCAGTAAGAGCCACACGAGCTCGGGCACCTGGAGGCTCATTCATTTGCCCATATACAAGAGCTACTTTAGATGTCTTATCCTTCAAGGAAATTACTCCTGATTCAATCATTTCATGATATAAATCATTTCCTTCACGAGTGCGCTCCCCTACTCCAGCAAATACAGAGTAACCACCATGAGCTTTAGCTACATTATTGATAAGTTCCATGATCAGTACAGTCTTACCTACACCAGCACCACCGAAGAGACCGATTTTACCTCCCTTTGCATATGGAGCCAACAAATCCACCACCTTAATACCAGTTACCAAAATTTCTTGCTGCACAGACATTTCAACAAACTCGGGGGCCTCGGCGTGGATAGCGGCTGTCTTGTCCGTCGGAATGGGGCCGCGTTCGTCGATGGGTTCTCCGATGACGTTGATGATACGACCTAGGGTTTCGGCGCCTACAGGGATACGAATTGGCGACCCTGAATCGAGTACGGGCTGGCCGCGAACTAAACCCTCGGTACCGTCCATAGCGATGGTGCGGACGGTGTTTTCTCCCAAGTGCTGCGCTACTTCTAGTACCAATCGAGGAGAACGGTTCTGGACTTCCAGGGCATTGAGAATCGGCGGAAGAGCATCTTCAAATTGTACATCTACGACGGCACCGATAACCGCAACCACCTTACCTTGCCCTTTGGCGGAGGCTTTTGCTGCGTAATCTCTGTGTGAGGTGGCCGATACAGCTGCGATTTTTCCACATTCTGTCAGGACCTTCTCAGCAACTGTTTTTGCGGCTAAGAAGCCACTACCAACCCTACTTACTGCCCCGAACATTTTTGATTTTCTTGAGCACTTCACTGAAGAAAATGTTTGCGGCCGCCCGAAATTATGTAATAACCTAAATTACTATAGACAAGACAACCACAGATTTTTTTTTTGTTAAATTCTCCCTTTTCCAGTAAGGCAAGGGGAACAATGCCCATACAGCCTAGTCCTAAGTTAAATTATTCTGTTTTTCTTTTTACATTAGAATGTCGGTGTGACGCATTTTAATGTTTCTTGAAGTGTTTGGCACGAAATGTATCGAGCTGGTAAGTTTCTGTGAGGTAGTCAATACTACAATAAAATTCTCACGTCCACTTGACCGGAATAGCGTATATTTTGACGATTCTACTAATTCTTCAGTTACGCAGACAATTGTAACACAAAATCAAACCAATTTTATTTCACAATATCCACTATGAACGAATTTAAGAATAATTAAAATAAGACGCCAACCACACACGATCAAATCCCGCCAAAAACTCCAACCACAGATAGATTTCAAGACGTGACATACGACCGTCACAGGTCTGCGTTCAAAAGTTCAAATCCTACGCTTTAGCTGCAACAAATGTCAAAGTTACATTAGCTTCTGAATACGTAATTTTTGAGGTAATTTTAGGTGAAAATTGTAACGTCAGGCTAAATACTTGCACTGGGAGCGTAGGTTTGGAACGGAGCCCTGAAGTTCGAATTTGAATTTCTTCCAATCAGTCTTCTAAATCCATATTAGAGGTGAGGCATAAATATCGAATCAGGTATTTGAAATAGGAATTTTTTGATACTAGTCTATACCTAATCACATAAAATATTTAAATTCCAAGGGAAAAGAGCAACAAATGCCATGTAGAATACTATTTGATAATTAGTTGTTAGCGTCGTTAAAATGTTTACATTCATCATAATTGTGCGTCGAGGTAAGATGTGATAGGTACACAGGTGGCGTTATTCAACGATTTATTTATTTATTTGAAAACCAACAATGCAACATTACTATTCAAATTGTACCTAACACTTAATATGCTACTAATAAGGCCAAAAAAGTTTTCCTGCTTTAACATAAGTAGTAACATTCCGAGCACACGAATCTTAAATTATTTTTATTATTCCTTCATACAGAGATGATCTTGGCTGTAGTCATCATCATCATCATCAGCCTATTAATGTCCCCACTGCTGGGGCACAGGCCTTCCCTATGGATGGAATAGGGAGATTGGGCCATGACCCACCACGCGGGCCCAGTGCGGATTGGTGGGTGCTAACGACTGCAAATGCAGCCGGGATCAACGGCTTAACGTGCCTTCCGAAGCACGGAGGAGCTCGAGATAGTAAATTTTTGGTCACCCATCCAATGACCGACCACTGCGAAAGTTGCTTAACTTCAACGATCGCAGCCGAACGCGCTAGCCACCTGCGCCATCGAGCTCCTCTAGCTGTAACCTGGCTGTAGTGCCAGGTTCAATTTTAAATTGGAGCAAACGGGAAGGATTTTCTTCTTTCAACCAATAATTTATTTTTTCCTAATCGGTTCATAAAAAAATAAACTACATCAACAAAATCAGTAAAGCGGTGGTAGGTCAGGTGGTAGGTGATTTAATTCTAGCCTCACATCCGTGGGTCGTAAGTTGAAATCCCAGCACCTACCTATGGATTGATCGGATATATGTACGGACTAATACCACTTGCTCATCGGTAATGGAAAACAACCTGCACATTCAGGTAAAGATGGATGATCCAATAAATGGTCTGGTTTCCCTGTTCAAGGGATATGGAGGTCATATTTCAGTAGCTCAAATGTTATTTGACCAGACTTGCCGTGTCCAGGATCATGGTTAAGCGTACCCTGACTAGAATCGAGACAAAGCGTTAGGAGAAAGAGACGTCAACAAAATCGGTTGAGTTAAACTAATATATCGCTTAATAACGGTTCCATGTGGACGACGTCTCAGGGTATCCATTTGCAGAGTCGTCTCTGACCTATTGGAGGCCCTGGGTATATTAGGATAATGGGGCCCCTATGACCCGCGTTTGGTGATTTAACAGGAACTAGGGACTTTGTATTTGATCTGACGGGGATGACCCCTATCGATCCCTGGGCACTTGCCTAAAATGCCCACTGGGAAAGAGGGGTCTGATTTGTTGTATACTAAAACCTTCTTTAGAATGTAACAAATACTTTTAAGAAAACCTCATTAAAATCGGTCAAGCCAAACGTGAGATAATTGCGGACAAACATGCATACACTTAACATACGGGCCAAATTGAAAAATTCCTTTTTTTGAAGACGGTTAAAAAAAGGGTTGCAAACACACAAGGCGATCAAATCGAGATTATGGTATTTAATTTATATATTAAAAAAACAGAAGCCCATGTTATCGTCATACTTCATAATACAAGTTTAATTAGATATTGGTGTCGATTCTAGCGTGATTCTCTAAACTTAAAACTAAATTTAACATCAATCTCTTCTTTTCATTCTATATAGAGATAATGACAAGGAAACACTGTTGTCAAATTAAAGTTTAGATTTAGAGAATCATGCCAGAATCGATACCATTATACAAATCCAATGCAATATTTCTACGTCATACCTAATCCGCATCCGATCCGATTCGTCGATCCGTTACCTGTTATTCTGCATAATTGGGAACAGGTATTTGGTGTTCGTCGGATTGGGTTAGATAGAAATAAGTGTACGAGCTGTACATACCTACTTGATTGTACATTAAAATGATTTCAAATTGACCCAGATTACTTTTAAGCATACTCATGAAATTGTATTTTTTCTTGCAGAAATAAATTAGTGTTTTTACAACATTCAAACGGTTCGGTTTTATTTAGCACTCCTTGGAGTAACCTTACCCTTAACAAGCATCAAGTGTGGGAAGCAACCCCCACATTTTTGGTCCTTCGAGCAATCGTTGCGGGATCAAGTTTCGGTTTCGTGTCTTTGGACAGTTTGTGAGTCGAAGTGCGGTAACCTAAAAATTCGTTACGTGGACAAAGTTGTACAAGTGATTAACTTCGTCGCGTTCCACCTCGCAACGTACTGAACAGTAACCAATCAAGCATCAGCAAAATTTGAGCAACCTACATCGTCTTCGTCAGTCTCGCTCAATTCCAACTAGGATCACACTAAGCATTAAGATTGACAGCAGTTCCTGGGGAGAGCAGTTAGCAGCATCTAAGTACATCAACGGCATTTCAAGTAAGATTGTTCCTTTTATTTCAATTAATCATGGAATCTCTCATTCAGCGTCAGTCAGAAATCCAGGAGCAGATGAAGCAGATCAAAAGTAACTTTAGCAAGGACGCTTCGAGTCGCAAAACTTCTGATTATCTGATGAAACGTCTAACCGCTTTAGATAGTCTCTGGGGAGAGTTCAGTATGAATAATGAGCAATTACAGTTATGTGAGAATAAAGAGCAACAATATTTTTTGGAAAATACATTTGATCAAGCAAAAGATTTTTACATAAATTTACGTCATACTATATCGTCATATAAAACGGAGAAAAAGCATACAGTTGACAAGGCTATTCAGGACGGAAAGGTGAATGAATTGTTAAGCCAACAGCGTACAAATTTTCGAGCATTTAATAGGTTAGTGCAGAGTATCATTCCAAGCGAAATATCCGAAAAGTGGGAGTTAGAAGACGAATTGCGTAATTTACAATTAAAATGGAATGTTATTGATAACATGCATTTGCAAATTGATAACCTTCTGCAAGGGGAGGATACATTTTATGAGCAAGAATTTATTTCATATGAAAAGAATTATAAGCAACTGAAACGTTCGCTCAATAAAAAATTATCAAATACAACCCTCACTCACCAAGCCACGCCTGTTATTGATATCCCAACATTTACGGGCAAATATAGTCAGTGGCCTACATTTTTTGAATTATTTACTGAGACAATTCATAATAGTAATCGAAAATCGAAAATCGAAAACTCAAAAAATGCAACATTTAAAATGTAAGGTAAAAGGGGATGCCGAGCGGATAATTCAACATCTTAATGTTACGACTGAGAATTATGACACAGCCTGGGAATTATTGACACATCGTTATAATAACCCGCAGGTATTATTTACAATGCAAATTGAGACTTTTTTGAATCAGCCTAATGTCCATAAGCAAACTTCGTATGAATTAAAGAAATTATACGATACGAGTACCGAGTGCATTCACGCGATTCATAACTTAGGTATCGATACGAATACATGGGATCCTCTGTTGGTTCATTTATTAGCAAAGAAGTTGGATTCAGCCACCTACAGTGACTACAAGGAATCTCGTAAGTCTCCGAGAGACTTGCCTACACTCGAAGAATTCATGACCTTTTTAGAAACCAAATTTATTGCTTTGGAGCCAATAAATAGGGAAAGAAAGGATAGAGAGGTACTTCCTGCACCTACTCGTCATAATCAGCACCATCAAGGTTATCAAAAACCTATAGCAACATGGAACAACAAGCAATCAAGATTTTATTCATCCTATAAGGCAGCTCCGATTTATACCTCTAATATCAAGTGTCCATTGTGCAAACAAGATCATCAGTTATTCAGATGTCACAAGTTCCTTAACCTTTCAGCAGAAACAAAAATGAGAACGATTGTGAAATACCAACTTTGTCAAAACTGCCTATTCAAACATAATGAAAAATGTCGCTCGACAAAACGTTGTAAAGAGTGCAACGGAGAGCATAATACGCTACTTCATGACGCATGCAAGCAGGCAATGACCTCGCCTAGCAATATACCTTCTCAAGCAAGCACAACTATGTCACCCATGCCTTCAACATCTAAGCAACTTAGCGTAAATCACGTTGCTGCTGAAAATGAAGAAGTTTTGTTAACAACTATACTTATAAGGGTGAGGGCAGCCGACGGCAGTTACCTTGTATTAAGAGCATTATTGGACCAGGGTTCTCAAATTACCCTAATTTCCGAAAACGCTGCTCAGATGTTAGGGCTACCAAGACAAAAATATCATGCATCGGTGTCTGGAATCGGCACAGGTTCCAAATATAGTAAGGGAGTCGTATCACTAGACTGTCAATCTATTTACAATGACTACAATTTTACAACACA